GCTGGCATCCGTCTTCTTCGCTTCACTGCTCTCTCCAGACGGCCGGGGAGGGGGACAGGGAGAGGGGCAGAGAGAGAGAGAGCCCTTTCTTCTCCCCTTTGATTTATACCCACTTTCCTTGGGTCCGTCCCCTAGGTCAACCCACAGACCTACGTATCCCATGTACGGGGAGGGGTAAGGTGTTCGTTCCATGGGATGATGTCACTAGCATAATCATGTCAGCCTTCATTAGCATATTGAGGGGTGTCAAGTTTAATATGCATTTCGTGGATAATGAAGCAAAGTTCATTCACTGGACACATGGCCCTTGAAATCTGCCCAGGTGCCCCAGGGCAGAGCTGTCCCATCTCCACAGGGCTCTCTCCCCCAGCTGCATCGGGCAGCCTTATTAGCTTCGGCCTCCATAGAAAGCACCCTGTGACTCATGGTTTTGTCTTGCGAGTGTTTGAGGCATATTTTCAATCAGCCTCAACTTTTGCTTTCCCAGGCTGTTTGTCTTAGTTTTTCACAGGCCTGGTTTCTCAACTCTCACAGATGGTCTTTTTGTTCTGTGTTACCAAGCAGCAAGCTCTATGTACTATGGTCTCTGACAGGTATGTATACATCCTACCACATGACAGAGGATTGATGATAACTCTCTGTCAGAATGTTTGCGATGAAAGAAAGAAGCATATTATGCATTAAATCATCACCTAGTAAACTGCTTATCTAAATAGGAGTCTTAAGAACAGTTACTTTTAAATTATTTCTGCTAATAATAAGGAAAAGTTAAGGAAATGTTACAGAAAGATACAATATTTACTGTAGCTATTTGACTTAATTACCAAATACAGAATAATCAGTATAATTCAAAGTAGCTAAGAAATCGAGCCAGAATCTTAGGCTCTACCAAGAAAACCTTCATCTTGTGTCCAACTTACCAAATGTAAAAATACTTTCTTTTTCCTAACAGCTATGTGTCTCTGTTTCCAGCTTTAAAAATCAATTATAGCTGGCAATGAATAATTAAACCAGCTAATGAGATGTTATTTTAAATTACAATGCTACTTTCTTTGAGCTGGTTTTGCACTAAGCCTTAACTACCATATCTGCATTATTATGATCCCTTTATAGCTTCACAAGCTTGTTTTTGTGTGGGTTGCTTTCAGTTAAATATCACCTGCAGTCATACTAAGAAATAATTAAGTATTTTGAATTGCAGGTTTCCATAAACCAAACCAAACCAGGTAAAATGTAGGTCCACTCCATAAAATGAAAGTTATTTAATGCCACTGCATCACTAAAATACAACTAGCTACAGTGTGCGTATTTCCATCATGTAAGAAACAACCTACTGCAGTTAACTTTAGCAGTCAGGTTAATTGCATTTCTTTCATCTAAGTACACCACTGAGTGTGTTGTAAAGTCATTTAAATGGGTTGCTGACCCAATTCTGCATTTTCTTTTTCAGAGGCTGGTAATAAAACGATATTGTCTGAAGCACATATACCATCAGGGTTAGATTTTCTGATGCATGGTTTCTTTTCAAAACATCTAGAATATTATATATATATAATGTTGTACCAAGTAATAAAGAAGACATGCAAAGTGAGAATGTGAACAATAAATATGTCACATGCTTTCTAAGCAATTACATTTCTGCTGTTTTATGAGTTAATAATATGAATAAGCAGTTCCTTTAACATCCATCTCTCCTTCTTATCTATCCCTTGCATCTGGTGATGCTTTTTGCAAACAGGACATTTGTTAATATGATATGCTTTGCATATCCTCTCTCCTTCAATGCATGTCAAGAGAAATTGTTGAAAGCATCCTACCCCATTCAGCAATATGGCACGAAGACCCACTCTCCTGCCATCACTACTATTGAGATCTGGTGTTGGAAGGTCCTGAGAAAAGCATTTAGACAGACACTTTTATGCCTATGGCTATGTAGTTTGCCCTCTGGTCTCACCTTAACCTCCATCATGTCATGCTACAATCCCCTACTCTGAACTGGTAGGAGAGAGCTGAACTCCACAGCACACAAAACAGTGTTTATGAGCAGCATTCCCTCCTTTTCTTTTTCCCTTTTATTCAGAGAACCTTAGGAGCCCATTCTCCTACTCTGGAGTACAACCAGCCCCTGTTCATTCATGTGGAGCTGTTCTTTCTCCGATTTGAAAGCACAGGCCTCAGGGATGCCTGAAACCTTGTACAATATTTCCAGTTCCAACTGATAAGTCCAGCTTTCTTGTCTTTCTAGCCTGCATCTTTCCCTGCAAACTTCAAAGCACTTGCTCTGTCGATTTCTGACAACACTCTGATATAAAGGGCCATGAAAGAACAGGAATTAGAGAGGAGAGGTCTCATGGCTGCTTGGCCTGAACATCTGTACCTCTGTTGCTGACCTCAAAAGACTCCAAAACAGAGAACGTTCCCTTCAGTCGCCCTTTCTTTGCTGAACCTAATCCCTATGCTGTCCACTGTGTCCCATTATTGCCATGCCCAACAGCACCAGAACAAGGAAGACTCTTTGCAGAATCTTCTCCTGAACTCTGCTGGGGAGGGGCTCAACAAGCACAGCCTCCCTCTGTGGTTGCCTGGCCTCACACCGGGAACAGACACACACATGGGATTTCCTCAAGATGCTAGTCTGCCCCATGGTAATATATTGAAATATGTTCTCCATCAGTGCAGCAACAGTTGTCTATGGACAAAGCAAAGAATGGGAAGAGGGGAAGAAAAGACAGAGAGAGGAGTGATAGTTTAGAGAGAGAATAATAGCTTTCTGGGAAGGAAGAGGTGGTTTTGAAGGTCAGGAGGAATTCCCATTTCCTGAAGGGGGATTTAGATGTTCAAAAAGGAACATTAAAGGCATTAATGATCACATGTGAATTAATGCCAAGAGAAGCATATTCATGAAATGGAGTCCTAAAGAAAACCTGAATTTTCAATGCATTTCTGAATGTACTTGGTTTGTGCTCCTGGGTGAAAGCACACTGTACTTACAAGGACATGAATATCTTCACAAGAAACTTGGGGATGGGGGCAAAATCAGAGATGATTTGTCATTTACTGAAATTACTCATAAGTCATCCCATTTCCAAATGGGATGTGTCCCCCTTCTCTTGGCTTCCGGCCTGTAAATATGCAATATATGGCTTAAAAGCCAGAAACAGGTTAAAACACAGCTATGCTGATAGGCACAGACAGTAGGAAAGTCATTTTGCTAATTTGAACCGGACTGAATCTGCTCTGTTTCACAAGATTTGAAGGCACACTATATCCCAGCTAATACCCCCTGCTTCTCTTCAGTTTTCCAGTGCAAACCTGGGTTGTTAATAAGGGTCTAAAGATCTGTCCTGTGACTTCTACAGTGACATTCTGAATGAAACAGAATGAAAGCTTGTCTGATACGTGCAGAAATCCTGAAGTACTCAGGATTTAATGCAATTAGACCCTGAATTGTATATAACGCTATTCCAAAAGTACCAGATTTCAAAGATACTTGTGCAACATTAATGCAAAATCACTGGGAGAAGCAAGATAAATTGTATTCTTTTTCACTGATTTTTCTTTTAAAATCATTTCAAATCAACCACCACCAAAATCAAACCTAGTCTTTGCATTTCACAGATCACATCCTCAGTCCACTGAGTTCTTGTCACTCTTAATGAACTCTGTTATTGCATAAGAGGTCTTTAATACCTACCAATATCTAGGTCTGACTTAGAAACTTGATAAAAGGTCTTCAGGTTTATGCCTACCCCAGGTGGAATTCTGTTAAGACAGGCTGAGGTTTAGGTATCTTTTCAAGCATCTGAAGCTGAATCCAAAATACCACAGAGGAAATGATTGAATATGGCCCTGGAATATAAATAAGAAGGTGCAATAACTACTTTCCCTTGGTTTGCAAAGCATGTCTTTCAAAAAAACCCACCTATTTCTCCTCCAAGTAAACTTTCTACCATAACCCCACTGTTCAAGCTTTCTAGAAAAATAGGCTCTATATATAACAGGGTAAACGTCATCTTTCACTGAAAGTAAAGACTAGTTCAAATACCATTCTACTGTAGAAATATGGACATATTAGCCTATTCTCAAGTTGTCTAAAGTTTTCCTCAAAAATATTAATTTCAAATTATAATCATTTAATAAACACTTAATTGATATAGCCTTTTTTCTCTCCTCGATATCTCCTCACCAGAAATCAAAGCTAATTAATTCCATGCAGAGTCTCTGAAAACATTTCTCTAATATATTCAACTCAGCATTCATTATGTCTTTCTGAAATCTCAGAAAATATGACTTGGTGTTCTCTGGTACTAAAATCTACAGAAATCACTAAGAATTACAACTTTTCATTTGAATGTACAAATCTAGATATAAAAAACCCTAAAAACCACACACAAAAAACCCACAGAGGGGAAACTATACCAATGTCCATCTGACTACTATTTCCTTATCAAATACACTTATTTTTGCATTATTAGCTACCTTACTAAGGGAAGTACAGCAGGTAACAAGCGTCTTTAAAATCAGACTAAGTTTTTTAATCATGACACTGTCTTAGTTGGCTTTGGTGCAATCTTTGTTGTAATTTTTATATTTAGTTTTGGACTACATCTTTACAGCCACCTTAAAGTTACATTTATTGTGATAAACCAAAACATTTTAGAGGTAAAAAGCTCCATCTGCTGGATATTTTGCTGTATATCTTAACTTTTTCTGTGATTTTTATAATGTTATTACTTACATCTTTATTGTCTCTCCCTCTGATGGAAACCTCATTCTTTTACATTATTGAAAGTAAATAATTTACTGAACACAATACAGCAGAATATATTATCAGTATTTACTGATAGAAAACATAATATAGAAGATCTGGGATCTGCCTCATTTACTTTCCACTTGACTTTTATTTCCAGGCAACTTTATTTCACAGAAACAACTTAATAAAGTTCTGAAATTATTTTGGACCACAAGCTAAGTTAATGCTTTAAAGTGTGACTGCAAGTCCTGATATGCAACCCTAGCTTCTACATCAGATCCAACTGAAAAAAAAAAAAAACAAAAAAACCCAAAAAAAACCCCATAAAGAACATTCATATAGTTTTTGCACAACATGGCCCATTTTTCAACATCATGAACATGACACACAGTCTAGACATTTCCGTTTCATGATTAAGTATGTTTCAACCATTTTTCAGGAAGAAAGTTATTTTATTTAAATGAAGCTTGGTATCAATCTTTTCAGCTAGAGGTGTGTTATGAACAGCAGCTGCCAGAGGCCCACGATGGAAGAGCAGCACAAGTGCCAGTGCCAAATGTTGACAGCTTTGATAGAATATGGGTAATATTGTTGCTCTCTGCTCTACCTCACTTTTCTTTTAGATGTGCTGCAATATCTCAAGTACAAATATTCAGATCACTGCCAAATGCATTTACATGCCCTACATCATCTATCAAAGAGATGATCAGCATTAGAAACATTTTTAAAATTATAATTGAAGCTTAAAGGAAAGCAAATATTTGCAGAGATTTACTTAAGTCTGACAGATGTGATTTATGTTTCTAAAAGTTTAACTCAGCTCCACTTAGCATTTCAGGTAGTTGATAAAGTAATACTCTTTCTGCACCTTGTATTCCATTGTTACATATTTTAATTTTTTTGTTATGATAAGAAATGGTAATCATAGTCTATGAAAATGTTAGTATGCTATTGAGCTGTACATTATTCTAATGTTGACTGCCAAGATCAAGCAGCAACACTGCCTTTCATCCAACACCTGTCACTGTTTTATATGCATGTTTGCAAAGAAACATTTACAGGGAGTTTTAGGAACAATTGGCATCTTTAATTCACTGAGTTTGCACTATTTTACTATGAAGTACAGATGTATAGTTTTCTGGACTTGTCAACACAGAAACCTTTAATTTTAAAATCAATAAAGTATTTCACACTGGATCCAGATATAAAACTATCCCTCTTTTCCACAGGGAAATGAAAATGTCTTGCACTAAAAAACAAAATGAGGGAGGAGGGAGAGAGGATTTCTCTCTGCAGTTTCCACAGTCCCATGGAAAGGGATTTGCAAACCTTGAAGGGTGGAAGCACTTCATCCTTATCTTCACTGTTCTTTCTTGTTGAGTGCGCTTCATCAAACACCCTGGATGAGCTTAGCAGAGAGATAAGGCATTGGCACACTTTGCTGGCTCTGTCTATTGGCTGTACTGTATACACAATGGTCTTAAAGTCAAGGAAGTGTTATTGAACGGGAGGATGCACATTTGTTGCTTTGTCCTCTACATGTATTTCCTTGCTGAAAAAGACAAGAGAGAAAGTAAACCACTTGCCTCCACATACAAACACTATTACATAGCCCTCAAATCCTGTGAGATATGAGGTAATTTTTCCAAAACAATGCTTACAAGTGACTGCTACAATTTCTAGAGCTTTTGCCGGGAAGAAGGCATGATTCCTATCCATTAGCAGTTTTAAATAAGTCTTCTAAGGAAGATCTGGCATATGTTGATAAACTTCATTATCCATGAACTGCCTCTTATTTTTCTAAATCTCTATCCCTATATGTAGCAGACAAAAGAAATGCATAACTTGTCTGTGTTCCAGTAAGTACTGTCATTAATATCATGGGTCTATTTCCTCCAACCCAGACTCGTTTGAAGCTCTTACTAAACTACATGTGCATTTTGCCTGAACACACAATTGCACAGATCAGTCATTTGGACAACACATGGTGATTTGCAACCAATATAATATATCAGCCAAAGCACAATCTTCCTTTTTTAGAATATTTTTTCTCAGTTCATCACAACACAGCCATTCAAACATTCAAACAGAACTCATAGGTACTTGTTATAACTAGAGTTCTTTCTGAAACAGAAGTTAAAAGGGTATGCTAAATACAGGAGTAATTAATATGGATATATATCGTGTAAGAGAAAAATCATATAGGGTAGTATGTAAAGCACAGGAATATGAAGAGGAAGACAAAGAAGGTTCTAGAAAAGGGGCAGATCTAGAGAGAAGAAAGGGTAACAAGGAGATAATCAGAATGCAATTTAAAAAGCAAATAAAAAGAAGCTTGATATCTGAATATACCTTACTCTTTGGAAATCCTAAAAATAATCTTTTAAGATAGCTGAAAGTAATTAGGGAGGAATGAAATTTTTTGCTCTTTCCTCACATTTTTAGCCAGCTGGGTACAAATACTCAGACAAAAGGAGATATAAACCCAGAATAGTGCAAATGGAGAAGAAACTGAAAAGATCAGGAAAGACACTTCAGCCAGAGCCAGAGATGGGCAAGCAACAGTTATCAAGAGAACGAGTGGAACTGTAGCTGCGTATAAAGGAAAAATTTTGAACAATTACAGGGTTTGTTTACTGAAGTTTGAGCGGTTTCCTTTTTGGTGATTTAACAAAACATCTTTGGCCTGCAGTACGAGCTTCTCCTGTATTCAATCTTCTAATGAAAGTGTATCATATATTTAAACTATGGCAAGATCTACAATAAGCAACTGTCTTGTACTTTTATCCAAATTATAAACTAAATTGGTTTAAAAAATAGTTTTAAAAACCTCTGCATTTTTGTCTGTGTGTAGCTATTGATGACATCTATATGCACTACAAGAAGATGAGAGATGTTCTTCCTAAACCAGCAACAGTAACTTGAAAGTATTAGTGAAATTTTAGTGTGGTCATGTGCAAACTCTGAACCCCACACAACTTGATCTAAAATATGTAAAGCCTCTAAGAGGTAAAGACAAGATAATTATGAATGTACTTTTAACACTGCAAGTTTCACTTTTTTTGATCGTACATATCAACCTAAATATTTAAAAAATCTAATGCTTATCTAATGGAATATGTCTTGAGAGTATCAGGTAATATCCTGAAGAGAGACATCCTGAAGAGAGACCCTTCTTCTGTTTGGAGGCATGTAAAAGCAGTATTCGCTTACAAAATCTTTGTCATATATCACACAAACTAACCCTCAAATCAAATGTCACATTTCTAATTAGAGGCTGACACAAATTTAACATGTTATACTATTGCCAAAATAATTAATGCTCTTTCAGCAGCATAAGAACCCTTCCTTTAAGTTTTTTCTCTGATAGAAAGCACAAATTATGTACAATTAAAATCTTTTGATGCAGATCTTGTTTTTAATGATATCTGTCAATTTCCACTTGAGAAAATTGGTCTTTTTCACCTTGTTTCACCATCAAATCTACTTTGTATTAATGGCTTTTTTTTTTTTTTTTTTTTACTTTAATGCAATTTTTACTTTTCTCTCCTTTGTACTGTAGTATCGCAGACTTGCACCAGTGCTTCTAGCAGTTTAAGAACTCTTGTAGGACTACTGGTCCCTTATTTAAAGAAAAACACATCTACAATTGTACAAATTAATGTCCCATAAAATCAAGCAAATGCTCAGAATCTCTTGAATATTTTTAATCCCTCAGAAGTATTTTGTTGGTGATGGCTTATTTTGGTTGGGTGGGTGGGTTTTCAGGGTTGATTCTTGTGCCTGGGTTGAAGAAAAAAGTTTAAATTACAATATTGGCAGTCCTCCCTAGAAAGAAGCTGTAAACTGTGCTCAATTGTAAGTTTTACACCAGACTTTGAACACCCCTTTACTCATGCTGAAGTTGCATGAACATTTACAGTGCTAGAAGTTCTATTGAACTCAATCCTATTGAGTTCACCCCTATAAAGTTCATGAGAAGTTGAAATAAATTAATTGGCTGTTCAGATGAGAGTCTGGAAAGATGTCACATAACATGCTAAGCAATGAACAGGCTAGTGCATTGAGCAGTCTTTTTTGGCAGTTTGTTTCAGCTGAGGAAGAGATTTGTATTTAAACTTTAAATGTTGTTTTGATACTGAAGTGGAGACATATAAAGAAAAAGAAGGCCTCCTAGCCAACACAATAAAACCAACAACAGGTCTTCCCATGTCAAAATCACAGCTGTTCCTTCAGAGATTAGCTTTTATGAGATTGCTTACAAGTAATTTAAGACATGCGTTTATGGGAATTGTATCATTAAAATGGATTTTAAGTGAATACAAAAGATTGTGTGGACCTTATGCTTTAGGAATAAGAGTGGCTTATTTGGATTTAGGTAAATCTGTTCCCAAGTGCTTTCCACTAAGCTGAAATAAGTGAGTTATTTTATTATGACTGTTCATAGAGATTTTATATGATTATTGGTTAAACGATCTCAGTTTAACTTTATAACTTAAATCATAGTGTCAAAAACTTCATCAGGAAACAAAACAAAACAAAACAAAACAAAACAACAACAACAACAACAAAACCAAAACAAAACAAACAAAAACCCCCAAAACTTGAAAGGCCTAAACCTCTTTGTGCTGTCTGTGAAATTTGGTGAATTAATTCTTGATTTCTTCTATCCTTTGCCAGTCTTATGTGTTGAGACTGCAGGCTCCTAAGGGGAAGAACCATCTTTTGTATGTTAGTACCATGCTTAGCACTGTGAGGCACTAATTTCAGAAAGGGCCTCCAGGTACTACTGTAATACTAATTAGTATTACCAATATGTAATTGTTGCAGTATAACCATTCATATAAGCATTCCTTAATTTTCTTACCTGCTTTCAACATATGTCTGAAAGTAAAATGGAGTCATATAATTCCGAAGAACATGTTAATGGTCATGATAAACAAGAAAATGCTAGAGTGAGTAAATCTTCCTTTTCACAGAATGAGCACGATAAAAGATATTCTTTCTACAGGAATAGGGAGGTAGACTAATACTGAAAATCCTCAAATCCTTCTGAATCCTGGGGTAATTAAAATGCTTAATGAAAATTTCTTGATCATGCTAGCAAAGCTTTAGCTAAACTAATGAGAAAGCATATTAGTTACTCATAGTTACAGCATGTGCTTTTAGATTTTCACTGGAAAGCATAATCTTAATACTGTGGCTTACCTGCACTAAACCAGAGGAGCATTTTGCAGTTTTCTGTGTAAGTCATGTATTTTAAAACATTTTTAAAGCATCTCTCTCGCTAATATAATGCAGCAGATCTTATTACAGACAATTAATTTTAGATTTATGGTTTTTATATGTTTTTTATAACTATGTTTATAAATAGTTATATTTATAACTATATAGTTATAAATAGTTACATTTATAACTAAGTTTAATTAAAGATAGGGGGAAACATCTTAGATCTATTTTTTAAAATTCTGCTTACTTGTCATATTCTAAAGATAATATTTAATATTTCTACTCTCTGAAATTATTCCAGTCATGACTGCTTCACTGATGTGGCTCAAAAATAAAGAAAAAAATGTCTTTAGGAAATATAATTATAAGATTGTGACACTGTTCTAAGACCTAGCCACAAAAATATTATTCCAGCTTCAGATGTAACTAGAAAATACCTTGGACATTCTTTGTATAGATGTGTACACCTCTAGTTTTGTAACATGATGTTTGTAAAATCCTTCATGTAACTTGTTCGAAACTAAACATGGCTTCTCAAAACTTGAAACTGATTTCCAGATAAGTATTCCAATGGATATTTTATTTAATTTTAATTTTTTTTTCAGTAAAATTTAACTCAGCTTTCAAAGTCTGCTTCAAAACACTCACATTCCAAAATTTGTATTCATAGTTTTATAAACATTTCAACTTTTAGAAATCTAATTATGGTTAAGGTGGGGTTTTTTAGTATTTCAGCATCAATACCATTCTTTGATGAATCTCTGATCCACTCTGTTAGTGTCATGACATAAAATGCTTGACAAGCTTAAGCAAAGATTTCCTATAATCTGTTCAAAATCATACCTGCAACTGACTAAACTGAAATTTTAAATACATGACTAAGAAAAATGATTTGAGAATTTGGGTGAAACATACTGCAGTTAAGGAAAATGTTATGTAAGAAAGATGCTAACCTGAAGATATATACTACGCTGTTTATTTATACTCTGTACAATCAATTAAAAAAAAGTTTTTCTGGGTAGTACTTGTCAGATTCACATATTGCTCCCAGAATGACCTTCGTTAATATCTTCCATGTCAGAAGGGAAAAAATATTTCGTTTTACGCTGTGTTTATACTATCATACCTCAATCTGTTTCACAGACACAAAGTGACAGAGTGGCTGTATTCATTACGCTTGTTTGACAGGATGACAGAATCCAAGCAAATTTCTACTTTGTGACTTAACTATGATGAAATTTATTTTCTTCACGGAGTTCATTGGACATCTGATTACATTAATTTCAGCAACAGTTTGCTCCACATAGATGGAAATGTGCATTGACCAGGAAATGAAGTATGAAATCTGACAGAATATACTTCAGCCAAGAAAAGTGATGGACTCTCATTTTTCACTGTTGAGATGGCTGATTTTCACAACCAGCACCTATTATGATAGTTTTGGAAATCATCATCTGGACGTGGTCTTGACCTTGTCTAGCAAAGACTCACTGACAACTCATCACATATTGGAGGGGAAGGCTGGCCAGGACCCCGGGGAGATACAATAACACTCATAGCCCAAGACTACTGGGACTTACTCAAATAAGCTAATTAGCAGCTTCTTCTGTGGCCTGTGTAAACTATTGATGCATATTTGACTAATTAACTATCCTCTTCACAGTTATGGGCTTTCCCTCTTCCATCACAGTGCTACAAACAAAAAGTTGCAGAGACTTTTTTGTGGAGTTGGCAAATAATTATCTGTATAAAGCAAACACCCTTCAACCTTTGATCCCTATATCAATCTCCCTGTAAAAGTATGAACCCCAGTCACCTATTAACTACCCAGCAGGGCTGGGAGGGTTTGTGAAGCTCATTTGAACTCTATATTATTGCACTTAAATTGCTTACTGGTAGCCTGAAATGAGCTTGTATACACCTACCAGAGATCTGATTAGTGATGATTTCCAAAGAAGAGAAAGAACCCAAAGTTAGCATTAAGGATGGATATATAAGGCTGTGTTACTAACGGAGAAAGTAAACCTCATCAATCACCATGAAAAAAGACCTTCTGTCACATAGCATTAGAGACATTTTCCAGTAATTCAAGATTTTAAGGGTTTTATTTTTTATTTTTAGATTTTTAATTTAAATAATTCACTCTAAGTCATCACAGACATTTCATGTACTTCTAATAGTTCCCTTTACTGAACTACAGTACAGGATAGCTGAACTACATTACAAAAATACATTGATTTCAGAATTTTCCTCAAGTATTGCCAGTCAAGTAACAACATTTGTTATCTCTGGTATTAGATTCCAGTAAAATATATAACCATTTAACATATTTCCATGCAATGATACTGTTTGGGCAGAAGGTTGCAGTAGAAGATCAGGTTGAAATGCCCCAGGAGATATGTAGTTTTTGTTTGTAGATATTTTTTTTTCCTTACTTCATCTTTGCCTGTTAGATTAACAACTACCAGAAATATTTACAAATTTCAACAAGC